TTTATATTTTCAATACAATGCACGCTTTAATATATTAATAGTAGCACTACGTAGAAATAAATGCTTAACAGTAGTACAGTATTGTAGTACAGTATTTCGAGTGAAATTTCGTTGGAATTAAAATCGATTTGATTGGCTACTTCAGTTGAGCGAAACTCAAAATTATTAACCAATCAAAGCCTTCTCAATGAAATTCAACCAATCAGATCGGTTTGGTTGGCGCGATTCGATTGCACCCCCTCCCCAAATTTGTACCAAATCGACAATAAAGGTGAATTTTATGGTAGACCAAAAAACTGGAGAATGTTTGTCGGGAAAAAGACGGTGCACATTCAGGGACCAAGGTCAACCCTGGATGATTCAAAGTTACTACAAGCGATCTTTTGTCATATTGTCAAAGGAGCACAAGACAGGGGTTGCCAAGCATCGTAGAATTCGTGGTTACGATGCGCATATGGGCTGTGAAGTACAGGCTGTCGGGACGACTGTTTGTAGTCGGTGGTTGAGGATGGATATACATGGGGAGACGTCCCCCCTTGAGTGCGCATCAGACAGCATGGCCGAGTGCTTTCTGGGTCGGGTATTTCTTGTCGCAATGCCCACAGAGGAAGAGCGAGTCTGTCCAGGACGTGCAGAGGCAGCATCGCGCCGTATCCACCTTGATCGAGCTCGGAATATCAATCACACTGGCTCGTGCAATGGGTCTGGGCTTCTTCGGCGCGGCAGCCTTTCTTCGTCGAGAGGTCTCGTTTTCCTTGTTAGCTGCGGACGGTGTAGCTGCAGGTGGTGCCTTCGTCTGTCTGGACGTCCGCGTAGGTCGGCGATCGTCTTCGCTGTCATCGGATGAGGCAGTCATGGCTTGCGCCGATTGACGCAAGAGAAACGCGACTTGTTGGCGTTCCGTCATGAGACTCGGGTGGAGGTCGTCTGCGAGTTTGTCTGGTTTAGCAACCGACGCTGCTGCGACGCCGCCAGTCCCTGCAGCGGACGTCGGACGAGGACTCACGCGAAGCGGCGGCGGCGGGCGAGACTCGGTATAACGCCCATCATCCGCACGTGGCCGCTTGGCGTTGCTTCGAGTCGTTGCCATGCTAGGTACCACTGGGGATGGCATTGGACCGTCCACCATCGTTGCTTCTGCCGGATGCCCAACTTTGTACAATGAACGTACCACTGGATCGCGGAATTGAATCCACCAATCAGATCCACTAATTTCGATAATTCAACCAATCAAATGCATGGAAAACCAGGCGAGGAGAAGAAGCCAGACAGCTCGCGCCACCGACCGATCACTCGCCGCACCGTGCTTTGAATAACATGTAAAGTGGCATGCGCATGCGATGGCGACGGAAGTCTTCTCCATGGAGAGATGAGACGTGCTTTCACCCAATATGATGGGGAGACATGTCTCTTCTGGCAAGGGAAAAGGTGTTGTAACTACTAGTAGATGGAAACTGCGCACCAAACGATCGCCATTCCCTAACGCTAGTCGAGATTCCTTCCTGCATCCATTCATCGCTTGCCTTCCATGATGCAGCTTGTTCACTACTGTATGTTCGATGGGGATGGATGCTTGCGATCTCGATAATACCAAGGGTCGTTCGTTGCATGCATGCTATTCACACACCCACACGAACGCACAGCAATGCTACAGTACTCGATCTCTCAATGCAATTTCTTTCAATCGTGTTCTAAATCAACACGTAATCGTCCTCGTCGTCAATATCCCCGCCGTCTGTCGCCGAGTCTCCCGAGACCGAGTGCAGCTCGGAGCTGTCTTGCGCGTAGTCTGGCCTTGCGGCGGCAATCGAGATGGGACACGTGTGTGTGGCAGCAAGGGCAGCCACGTGGGCCGTGAGGTCGTCGTAGTCGGTGCGAGACTTGCATAGGAATCCAAGGGCGAGGGACGGATCAATGTAGTCCACTTCCATGACGAGGTGGTCGGTCGAGTGGATCGTTCGGGCATGCGTCTACAGCATTCATCACTCCCACTGGTGGCATATCCACAAGTGTTACCGCCGTGGGAAAGGCGGCGTCGTCGGCGTCTGGCGTCGGATGGACTGTATGGGGGTCGAGAATGTGAAATTGATGTCCTAAAAACAAAAGCGCGCGCAAAGTCATAAAAAGCGCGCGAAAACGTCATTTCGAAATTTGCTCCGTACCGCGCGCACCGACAAAATACACGGAATGGCCGCGCTTGCCGCCGATGATCCCGACGGACTGCGGGAAGGAAAAGAAGGCCGTCAACGCTGACAGCAAGCGTGAGAACATGGACAAGTACGTCGAAGTCTACCTGGGATGTACGTGGCGTTGATCTTATCGAGCCCGAGTCGCAGCGGTACCAAGATGAGCAACGAATGGGTCCAGTCTGCAGCGACGTCCACTTGTGGGGGATTGAACAATGGATCGTAGAACATCGACGGGTGCAAGGACGGGGTAGCGACTCCGGGCTCCACGAACGAGGTGATGCATAGTTTGTTGACTTCGTCCGTGTAGATAACGCCATCTTGAGGGACGTACATACAAAGGTTCAGGTTGCCGAAGTGGGTCTGCTCATTCACCAAATCACGCAAAACCTGCGCCGCAGTCGTGGGACCATACCATTCTCCAGGCAACATGTCGTACTGCATGCCGACCTGCACCAGTCGGTGGAGCCCGAAAGTGCACTTGGTGGACGGGGAATCAACGAAGGATCGCAAGACCTGTACGACGGAGGAAGGTAGCTCAGCACTTGCGTCGTTCCATTGAAAGCGTCGATCGGCATGGATCGGGAGATTTCGCAGGAGGGCTTCGCAGAGCAGCATCTGTGCCGACCGCAACATGCATCCCCATCCTGCATCGCTTGTAAAGTTGTATGGCACCATTTGCGCAAAATCTTTCCGGTACGTCAACCATACGATGGACTGGAGATGCACCACAAGCGAAGAGGCGGAGCTATGCGCCACGCCTAGAACATGGGTTGTATTGTGGCCGTCCACGGCTTCCTCGCTGCTGGATGTTGCCGTTGGGTCGGGTATGGACGTAGCGTCAAATGAACGAATTCCATGTGCGAATTGACTCATCCTTGTCGTCAACGACTGCCACCACCACGAGATCGCGAGGTCTGTTATGGTGCTTGCCTTCCACGAACTACCGGTCTCCTACGTCTTCTCGCGACGACGGCTGCCGCGGCGCTGGAATTGGAAATAGTTCCGTCCCCCCTGGCTTGTTTTCCGGATACGGGAATGTTGGTCGTGTAACCGTCGGGGAGAACATGTCACGATTTTATCACAAAGGTCGCGCATTAAAATCTAATTGCGCTCGCCGATGGACGAATCCTTCAAAGCGATGGCTCATCAAGACGCGACCAGTGTCACAATTGTTGGTGTCAGTGTCACAATTGCGGGTGTCAGTGTCACTACTCCATTGCATTCACCCCAGTTGGTACGAATCGTTCGCCACGAATGGACATGAAGCTCATGTGGGTGAAGATCCGCAACAGGTTTTGCTCGTAATGTTTCTATGTCATTTGTCCATGAGGTATTAACACATGCCAAAGGGAAAGCCTGAAGAAATGCATATTATGTAAAGTCGACTAACGAAGCTGCTTAGGCTACGTCTTCCTCTAGCGGCATGTGGCGGCGAAGGCGCTTCGCTTCAACAAAGTACTTGACAGCGACGATGCCCGTGACCACCAATAGACATCCCAGGAGTCCAACCATGGACTCGGCCATGTTGGTGCTGGACGACGGCGGTGGCAGTGGCGCGGCGGTCGGAGTATTGCCAAGCACCACGCCAGCGCCTTCCTTGTTCGTGGTGGTAGTAGCGGCGGTCGAGGGGGGCAACGTCGTTGGCTGCTCCAAAGTCGTTTGAGGGGGCAGCGAACTAGGCGAGGCGGTGGCTGCCACCTCAGTGGTTGAAGTCGCCAAGGGTCCGTCAAAGAGTTGTCCATCCAGGACTAACGGAAATACGTGGCCCAATTGCTGGGGAATGCGAAACGTCATTGGCCGTGTCTTGGCCACACAAGACGTGTCCAAGGCGTCCAAATTGCCGCCGACCTGCACGTACGAAGTGACCAGAAGCACCCCGCACGTGGTCTATCGAATCAAATGTAAGGGAAATGACGATCGATCCATCGGGTCAGTCGTCCGTTCTCGTACCGGAGGGCCTTGTTGCTCCTGCAGCCACGTCACGTACGTGATGGCATGGGGAGCTGTGGGAAATACGATGAGTTTCTTGGCACCTTGAATCGCGTCGAACTGCGCTTGCGCGTACGCCAACGGGGTTTGTGGATCCAACCCGCCATTGAGGACGAGAATGCTGGCTTCGGTTGGGGCCACCACCTGTGCATAATGCGTATGAACCATGGTCAATCGATTGGCAATCGATTTATCATGATCCCAGCCATCGTCCAGTATACTTCAGTATATCGGAACTCGTACCGGTTGATTCGCATACCGATCCAAGGCATACGTAAACGACACGTCGTTGGCCTGACAACAAACAACCCCCCCCCACAATTAACTGTAAGTCCCCTTGATAGTCCCCATATACAAATATACAAGCAAGCGGAGTACGGAAACCACGCGGGTCTTATGACGAAACGGTACCCGATGCGCATCGCAGTCTGGCGTTGGGTCATTTGTGTACACGCAATAGCTTGGAAACATCCCCACGACGCCATACCCAAACAAGCCGCGGACAAACGTCTACAACAACACCATTGTCAACACGAACGAAAACGTCGTCGCATGCCGACTACGTACGTTTAAAAGCGACGCTTCCGATGGGGTTGGGTGCTGCCACAGTTCGGAGAACACGACGGTCGAGTACAACAAGTCTGAATCGTACGACAAAGACTCGTCGTCGTGGCCTGTCCAGAGGTCGCTGAGGATATCCAGCATGTACGTGACAACCTACATCATTGTAAGACGACCAACAGTACATCATGGCATGGCTCGTCGTACATCAAGGTCCCCTGGTGTGCCTCGATGTAGCCGATGTACAAGCACGGGAATAAGTAGTCGCAACGAGGAGTGGGTGAGCAGGACACTCAGCACCACTTTCAATCCGTACGGGCCGTCTAACATATCCTTGATGTACGCTCTGCACACCACCCAACCACGAAATGAAACCCCAACTGATATCGACATATCGTTATTATATTCAACGTACGCGGAAGGATGGGTGTCTCTGTACAGCGCCTGCATACTCTGTGCAATCGACGACGACGGTGGCGGGAACTGAGACTGGCAAAACGAATCGGCGTCGCACAGGGCGAGAAACTCGCGGCCGACCGAGTCCATGTTGGTATCCCAGTCATGCATGTACAGGCGGCGGGTGCCATGATGCGGCACGACGCCATCCAAGACAAACCCGTGGACATTGGTCATCGTTGGAGGCTGCACGGCCACAAACCGCTCGAGCCACAACGTGCCGTAGCTCACGCCGTACAAAAATACCTGTACATGATCGACTTATGTGGATGGCGACACACACGACGGGCCCTAAAGTACTCTATACCTCTTGGTCGCGTTGGTCCAACTCTATCACAGCCACGAGATCCAACGCGGCACTCGTGACGGAAAACGCTTCGGGGTGGCCTGCCGTCCGCCGCACATCGTTATAAGTAGTCCTTGGGGAGTCGACGTCGATATATCATCATGAGCTACTACTGTACCGTAGCGCGTGTGAATATCCCGAAGGCAGTTTGGCAGCTCGTCGTCGTTGACGTTGCGACCGCTGGGACTCCCAGATTCCATCGCCTGCGCCGCCACACATTCCAACCGAGTGCTTCGCCCCGTGCCTCGATGGTCCATGGTCATGATAGTCACTTGCTCGTTCAACTGGTGGAACAATTCGATCATCACGGGCTCCACTGCGATACAGTAGGATTGTCGATGAGTTTGGAGATTGATATGGATGATAGTTTTGGCTGTCGTACTGTTGACGGAAGACGCCCCTGGCCCCCCTTGAAGTACCCAAAGCACCTTGGACGTACTGCCCACAAGTCGCTTGACAAACACTTGGATGGTGTCGTCCGTGCTGTTGCATACCCCCGGGTGGCACAACGGGACGGAATATTGGCCGCATTGCGCTCCGTCGGGGACTGGCGGCGAGCCGAACGGCGCCGCGGCTTCATGTAGCCGGCGGCGGTTCGAGGACGAAGGCGGGTGCCAAAATGTTTCTTCAGTGCACGAGAACCACCCGTTTAAAGTGATACTTGGACCAACCGCGGTGGCCAGCCCAGAAGCAGCAGTCAATACTGCAACCAACGACGTTTGCAGCACCAGCATGGAGCAAATGATGTGCAATGCTATCTAACTTCCTAGCAAAGTGGAGTGGGAATACTCGATGATGTTGTTGCAAGGACAATCAACAATGCATGGTTGTTTTGCATATGAACGAGAGCTATAAAAAGAATCCACGATCGCTGGGTTAAGAATAGCCGCGTCGATAGTTCCCCGGTACGGCGAAAATGGTCACCTGTCAAATTAAGATGGAATCCCAACGCTGCCATCGTCTACTTCTTCGTCGCCATCGAGGACAAATGCCAACCGCTTGATAGTGTGGTGTTGTGGCTTACGAACCATGCAATGCGATGGTGGACGGAGCGTTGTCACATATTGAGGACTTGAGAGCCAACCTTGTGCAACTTTGTTGTAAAGTGCAAGCCTACATACAGCCTTGGTTGTCTGCTTCAAAGGGCCTTAAACAAACGGATGGCTATAACGTTACGTATAGTAAGCGATATATATCCTGGATGCAGGTAGACGAGTTCGCTGCACCGCCGCAAGTCAAGGGGGGTTGAGGGATTAGTGAGCCATGCAATGCTTATGCATCACAGCGTTGCTAGAGCCTATCAGCGACGCCGAAACGATTGACGATGGTGATAACAAGAGTCCGTCAAGAAGAGTGGCCATTACCAAGGGAAACCAAGCGTTGGCTCATATATCGATGAAATATCAAACGTCAATGGTTGGGTTTTGGAGACACTGAACTCAAACGCCCATCTACCTGCACGTTTAAATAGCCCAGAGCACACCACACAGTTGGTTTACAACCAAATCACCCCCTTTACGAGATCATCCTCCATGCCTTTATGTAACCCACGGCCCCGCCTCGGCGCTGTTGGGAACTTGGCATATACTTGATGGTTATGGGTGGTTATGGAGAACATAATGAGTTTCTTGGATGATACAGCATTGCTTGATGTTGACAGTACAGTGTATAGTGTTTTACGAATGGGGGCGCGTGAAGCCCCCCCACATCGAATTGGTGTGGTTTACTGCTACATCACATTGTTATGAGCCCGAGCATCGAGACGACGGCTACGATCCAGTTGATGACACGAGACGACGTGGCGTCGTAGTGGGCGGTTGTCTCGGTGGTGGGGTGTGTGTTGCAAATGGATAAACAGATGGAAATGGGAGTTGTCGTGGCCGTAGCCGGTGTCAATGGTGACTTCGTCGGTGATGGCCAGGGTCTGTGGGGGATGTGAACGAAGGGTTGGTCGGGGGAGAGGAAATGATCGGGGGGACTTGGAAGAAATAGTGGGCTGCTGTGGAGACAACGTGGTGGAGTCGACGGGTTGGTTGAGAGTTGGTTCATGGAGGTGGGGGTCGCGGGGGATGAATTGCTTGAAGTGGGGGATGGTGGAGGCGATATAGGGCTTCGGGGGAGTGTTATGTCTGGTGAAAGCATGGGGCTACGGGGGTGGGATGCCATACATTTGGTTGGTATAGATTACAATCCCAGTAAACGCCGCCGACGTATTGCGCTTCGATTGACGCGAAGGATAGGAGGTGGAAGCATTCCATGATGATGTCCACGAAGACGTAGTACCAGGTGTAGACTACCGATAGAATTCCGCTGCGATATCCAGCGTTTGTAAATGCCACCCACCAACCTTGGTCACTTGTTCATTTCCTTTACAATATCGGATCACAAGATCAAATCCGTGGTTGCATTCTACGTATGCTATGTATGTAGTGTGACTTGGTCGTTGCGACTACATGATGGCGGGTCAAAATAACATTGGCGGTTCATCTTCATCGTTGTTGTCAAGGGTGTCCGCAGCTCCACGTGGCAATATCTTGGTCGAGACTGCGTCGATACGTTTCTCGGCTATACGCGCCGCGTCTCCAGGTCGCGCCACGAGGCCTCGCACGGACACGGCGGCCGATTTGAGCATCTTCATATCCATTCCATTATGATATCTCGATAGGCTAATACATTAATAGATAATCATGATCGTGTTTACCTGGTCCTGGATGGTCCCCGGACGGCGCGCCGCCGCCGCATCATGCGTGGCCTGATTGCTCTTGGCGTCTTCGTCCTTCTCGTCCTGGCGTCGCTGGCGGGCGCGGCGAGCGCGTTGGATACTCGCCGGATCCACTTTTTCCACCGTGAGTTGCAACGACCCTGTCGTTTTGGATCGCAACGCCGTGCCTTGGTCGCATTTGACCTGGTCGTTCGTTCGTTACAAAAACGAACGAACAAAGCCACAAACCTCGTCGGGGAACCGCAACCGCAACAACTTGTTCTTGATTAGAATCGACACGTACGTTGGGTGCATGTCGACGTGGATGAGCGACGAGTCGAGAAATTTGGGCACGCCCACTTCGACCAAGACAAACCCGGGCTTGGACTCTTCGTCCATGTGAAACGCCCACTGAAAATGCCCATAACGTTACACAGACAGTTTATCACGTGGCACGCATCACTCGCACTTATTTTGACAAGCTCAGAAAGATAGGTACGTTTGGCTGGGACCTCCATCCTCTGGCAGATGCAAATACCGTATACTGTATATGTATTGCGACAGGTGATATTTCACAACCAGCCGACACTCGTTCTCAAAACTTTGTTAATCCATGGCGTCAAAGTTTAAGTATATTCAACATGGTCACAAGCAAATATCAGTTATTACAAGAAAATTATCAGTTATTACAGGAGTCGAAATAGATTAATCCGTCGCAATCCATATACACTATACGGTACCTTGCCCTCGTTGCATTGACGTACAGCGGCGCCGCCTTCGACTTGGACATGTCTACGAGGATCAAGGTCGTTGCATGAGTACGTTCGCACAAAATTGCCAAGCTGCCAACGCTTGGTTACAAAAGTGATAATAATAATACATGCTGCTGAAGGTATTGTGAATGAATTCGCTATAAACTTTGAAAATTCGCGTGGTTTATGTAATCAATATTGAAAAATCACGCTGGAGTTGTGATTGGTTGAATATCCTTGTCCAAGAGCCAATCAAATCCACTCCAAATTGGATTAGCCAATAGCGTCGATTCAGGACGAGATTCGATTCGACGGGGTCTGGAAATTTGTATCGCATATACCACAATACCTCGTACCTGGCTTTGGCCAACGCGTCAGCGTGTTCCCGCGCATAATCGCGCTCCTTCGGCATGTTGGACCGTTTGCGCGCATCTTCTTCTTCTTTTTGCTCGGCCAGTTCCATGTACATGTCTACACGACTCTGGTCAGATCGCGCGATGGTGTTGGTGTGACGACACATCATGCGCAACGTACTGCGACGAGTTTCTGGGGTGTAGGGTAGCTTTTCGTCTTGGTTGTCGGTGGCACCGGCTTTGGATATGTCGGTGGCGGCGCCCGAAACCACAGGGATCACGTCCATGTCTGCAGTGTCGCGTACGCGTTTGGCCTGAATGAGGGCCGCCAGCTCTTTCTGTTTATGCAAACGACGATCAATAGGGTATAACCACCATCCATGTCAAAATATGAACGAAGGCGACGACCAAGGGATAGCGTACTTTGAAAACGGGCAGCTTTTGCAGGGCTTTGATGCGGTCGCTCTTTGTTATGTCCTTGCCGTCTAGCTGCTGGAGTTGCGGCAGGGACGCCACGACATAGTGGGTGAAGTTTTCCCAGTCGGATTGTGCCGGATTCCCCAGCATGTACAGCTCCTTGAGGTGCACGCGAGGCTTCAGATGACGCTACGTATCCCATCAGTTAATGGGAATCAAATGTTGCTAGTTATGTGGACGCACGATGGACTCTTCCAGCGTGTCGACGTCGATAAAGTTGACGGTGAGGTCTAGCTTTTCGAGAAATTCGCACGACCTACGCAAACGACATCGTCACGTTCGTTTATAGTGGGAAGCGGGGGGGAGAGGGTTGTTGGTACCCCAAGCCTTCAATCTTCTTGATGTTGTTGAGCGCGAGATTCAAGTACCGAAGGTCCTTCATGTGCGTCAAGTCTTCGATCTTTTCAATGATGTTGTTCTGTAGGTACAAAATGCGCAGCTTCCGACACAGCGTTCCAATCACTTCGATCTTTTCAATCTCTTCTTGATGGAGGGCAATCTCCTCCAGCGTAGACACCATGCCTTCGTTGTGCTCGGACCGTTTCCGAAGCAGCTCCAGCGTGATGCGCGGCATGGTGACGACGAAAGCAACTTAATATGTGTGACCTTTCGCAAACTGCACGTTTTGTTCGATCGACGACTTAACCGGATTCCGGATACGAGGTTTGCTTGATGTAACGTAGATGGCCAGTTTATGGTGCACGGGACAGTTTAAGGTGCACTCAAATTGGCCAATGGAATTGCTTGATTTTTGGAGTAGCCAATCGAATCACTAGAAAAATGAAATCACTAAAAAATAAGCAAAAACAGCATACATATTTTAAGCTTAAACCGTGCACCATAAACCGTCCCTCCTATTTTGCCTTGACTTGAGTGGAATCGAAGTAAATGAACGCTAAGCTGAAGTCTATTCAAGCCGATTGAATAATCAGAAGAATGCACAACCTTTCGGCTTCATGCGGCACTTTTCAGAATTGAAATTCCGGTCCTGGGAGACGAGTAAGCTTCATTCTACGACGAAGTCTCGTTCAAGTGCACCATAAACTGGCCATCTACGTTAACATACTGTTAAGAATTTATTAATACAGTTACTACTCCGGAGTATTAATAAATAGTACACGGAATTCGAAAATCGCGATTTTGTTGCCATTTACGGCCATGATTGATTGGGCATAACTCGTGTCCAGAAAATGCAAAGTGATTGGACAACATAGTATTGAACCAAGGGCTTTCACTGGCTCCCCGTGGCCAAGGTCCAAACCGAGGTCCGTCGTTGCGCTTAACACCCACGGGGTCGACCGTGAAATTTCTAGACACTACTTTTTCAGCATCGCCAGTCGCCTACACGTATGAGCTGGCGACTGAGCTTGCTCCCGCACTGTGGTTATCTGTGTTCGTGTCAACCCTCAATATTCAACCTCAGAGAGCGTAGGATCAATAATTGGCTGGTGAGGCGATAATTTCGGACAGTAGTTTGGCGCGGCGATGAGTTGTCGAAAATGGGATGAAATGGGGGTCATGCACCCCATTTTGAAAAGTGGATATTGGAATGAGTTGGGGAGCGTTTTGATTGGATAATGCCCATTTTGAAAACTACTTGGAACAAGTGCTTACTAGGTTGAAGTACATTTCTTTGTATTGTTCTACTCGTTGAATGAACCGCCCAACAATCGCTGGATCCCCAAAATATTATATCAAACTCAGTTTAAGAGGTAACTTCATGTGCGTCTGGTAACGCAAAATGGGATTAACCAAAATGCAATTTTCAAAATGGAGGTAAAAGGTCCATTTTGTAATATGGCGTTTTGAGCCTCTTCAACGAGTAAAGCTCACGTGGAATTGTTGGATTTGGGTTAAAACTCTTCAAGCAAGACATGTTTCAATTTTGATCAGATTTGATGACTGTGAATTCGGCCCCAAAATGGCGTTTTGGGCCTGAATATTGCAATATTATTGTGGATTCGGTACGAATTTCCAGACCCCGTATCACGAATCGACGCTATTGGCTAATCCAATTATGCGTGCATTTGATTGGCTCTTACAGAAAGGACAAGTATATTCAACCAATCAGAACTCCAGCGTGATTCAATATTGATTACCACAAACGACGCGAATTCACTGTCAGTTACTATTAATAGTATCATTTTGTGTGACTTATTGGAAACTTGAAGAATCACTTAAAATTGGCAAAATAACAGTAACTCAAATTTAGAAAGACAGCTTGGCCGAGCGGTTAAGGCGATAGACTAGAAATCTATTGGGGTCACCCGCGTGAGTTCAAATCTCACAGCTGTCGATCTATTTTTCTCTGTGCAAAGCATAAACTTATTTCTTGTACAGAAGTGACGTACATAACACCGAGTTCGTCACTGCAGAAGAGCCACCGATAGAAAGATGGGTCAAACAATGTTGAATCGTTAAAATACGCTTGTCAATCACACCACCGCAGCCATCGATTGTAGCTAGCCATGTAGTGGTTGGTACGTGGCAGCTGTAGGCGCTGGTATTAGTTGACAGGAATATTCAGACGGGGGGCCAAATATGTGTTAGTTCTTCGTGTCGATGCGTCGATCGATGGTGGGTGAGCAGGCCACTTGCCAGGAGTACGGCGTTGGAACAGCGCCATGCGGCGAAATGTCGCGCGGACGATGCCAGGCTGCCGAGGGAGATGGAGTTGATACAGGAACCGTTGAATTGTGCGCTTGACATTTCAGTTTTGTGGTTGATTTCTCGAAAATGCAATCACGACACACACTCTGCGTTCTCGAAAATGAAATCAGCTGGATCAACACATTTATCTTCACAACGCCGCGGTAGGTAGGTTATGCAGTCGTCCAGTGCGAAGAAGTACCATGGGCGAAGGCGTGCAATGAACATGTAGCCTTGTCTGTAGCAAGGGGTATCTGTGCCGAACGATAGGGTGGTGCAGCGTGGAGCCTTGTAGCTAACAATGGCGATGTTGCATACTGTTTATTTGACTGTGATCACATCTGGCCCTGGTTTGAATATGATTGTTGCGTACGTAGCAACGACATGTCATATAAACCAGCTTGATTTAACGGAGCCTTCGTCTCGTCATATATGCCTAAGTAAGCTACCTATGGGCGACCCCGTCCACGACCACGCCCTCGTCCCCCACGGCCTCTTCCTTTAGCTGCGGCGGCACCACCGGCGGCCGCCGATCCTGCTTTGACCTTTTGTTTCGGACTGTCGTCGATGAGCAGTGTGTCAAGGTTCAGCGAGTCTGGGAGAATGTAGTATCGGATGTTGTTGCCGCGGATGCTTAGCGAATCCAGGGACGTAGGGTTCTTGCCCTTGACGGTCATCTTGACCACTTTCAAATGCGTGTTCATGCTGATGTCCACGCCGCTGATCGTGCCGTGCACGACCGTGCCGTTCTTCAATTCGATGGTCACGGTCTCATTTGTCAACTTCATCAAGAACCTACACACCATGCATATAAGGATGCCGTCGCCAACACCATCATGCACAGAGCGGCCGCTGTATCCTTACCGAACGAGCTTCATCGTGACACCCGTGAACCACTGAAAATGCAGAACGCCCCCCTTTTGGACAAATTCCACCGCATGTTCTTGTATCGAATTATGGGCTCGGTACATCCGGATACATAACCGGATAACCCAGACCGCTCGTTTGTGCTTGTATCGCGAGACCGGATATCAAATATTTATCCGGACGTTTCTCCTCGTGGTGACCAATTGTTTGAAAGCCCCGACGAAGTCGAAGCAAGATGGGTCGCGCTCGCAAGGTCATCCATGATTTGATCGTGCATACACGAGGACTGGTGCGCAACAGAGGCATCGAAGACCCTGGCTGGCTGGAATGCGTCAACCGGTACCCGCCTCCCCCCATGCCGCGCGTGGACCGTGACAAGATCCCGACCATCAGCTTCCCGCAGGATCGACTGGCCGAGCTGTACGCGGCCAAGAGCGGGTACGCCACGGATGACGAAACCGCCTACGAGTTTGCCGACGAGCAACTGACGTTGATCGAGATGGGTATCCCCGAGAAGGAAGCGTACGCGACGCTCGCGACCAAGTACCAAAAGGTTGAAGCCGAGCGGTTTTTGCAGAATTTTTACCAGATGCGCGGGCAACCGTTCATCCCGAGCACCAAGCCCGAAGAAATGGCCAAGCGATGGGAAGAAGACGAGGCGGCGGCGATCAAGGAAGGCATGCGCATGGAACTTCAAGACAAGCAAGAGCTCGAATCCGACACGTGGATGATTCGCAAGTAGATAGTCGACGAACGATACTAACGTTAGCTCAACAAGAAAGGTACACATGTCCACTATCAATGACGTTTTTGGCGTTTTGCTGGGACACTCGTTAAGCCCCGTGCTTCGTCGGGACAAGAATGGCAATGGCGTGTTGATATGCTCGAGAGGAAATCAATCGATGGGCTCAAAATGAGGGAGGTTCTAATGCAGGACAAGCTGCAGTATGTCTAGTGATCACACTGATGTAGTATTGGAGAGATTATAATAGTAAGCTTAACAGTTCGCAACGCCGTCCACATTGGCGACAGACAGGATTAACCTTGAGTAGGGGGGTTTACAAGTGCCTAGGACGACAGTACAGCGCTGCCACGGCGGCGGCTACATCAGGTTGACTATAGTGCAGCCGATGCCCGAGGTACAGTAGACTGCGATACAGTGCGCAATGCACAACCTGGTGCTTATGACAAGCTACAGAAATGCCGTTTGGTTGAGAGGCACATACCAACGTATACCGGATACGTATCCGGATGTGTCCCGAGCGGATGTCAATTTTACAAGTTTCCTCGACGGTACCATGGAAGTGGTAAGGACTTGGACCGCGACGACAGATGATCTCACGACTCGTGTAGAAGCTGCATGCTCTGTTAGACAGGTAATGACAAGCGTACGACATGCCCCTCGTCACCATGCATGCATGGCCCCTCCCTTAGATATGAAGACCTCGCGGCGATCTTGGTGTCCACGTCGGAGGGCGTCCCATTGCTCAAAGGTGTGTGGTCCGTCGTCATTATGACGCGTGAATGCATCCACCAGAGACGACAGTCAACCATATTCCTTGTAGTGGAACATGAAGAACACCCATCGGACAAGGACGACGGGTCCATGTTTGAATACGCGGAAACTGTGTTGCCCAGCGTGTTTGCTGCCGCTGCCGAGCAAGTACGATCAATAATGCTTCGTCGACCGTGTATCGCCCCCCATGTATGTATAACGACGGGACACTCATATAGGCAGGCAAGTTGAAATTCGGCAGCGTGTCTGCGATCACATGCTTCTTCGACTCGACGGCATTGATCCACATCAACCACCTGCCGCTCGTGATCACGCTCATCGCGGCCCAAGGCGCGTCGCTCGGTGCGTTGTTTGACCTCGCGGACGACCTAAAGGCGTTGCTCCTGCCGCTGAAAAAGGTCGTCGAATCCACGGATGCCAACTAACGTCGTCGTTGCTGCCATATCTTCGCCTCATGTGATAGCTCCCACTCCGCTATGCGATATATACATCCAGACAGTACACCCGCTATGCAATATATACATCCAGACAGTGGGGTTTGTCTTGTTTGTCTACAACACTAGTACTATCTACACCAGGAAATATACTCTGAGTAGCACGTGAATAACAAATATAATTCTATCATTCAATAAATTATAATCTTCAAAACAATGCCACAAGTGAAGTGGAATTTTTAAGAGTAATAAATTGCTCAAATTCTAATAATACAGTTACATGACACGGTTACAAACATATTATTATTACGACTATTCATACTAACTTACGCCTTACAGTTACTTTGTATCGAGCGCCAACGAATCACACGTTTGAAGTGTCTATCTACACCCGAGTACCACAGTTGTGTTGTAGTACTGGTATTGTCAAGTCGATTCGAAATTGGCAGACAATCGATCAACCAATCAAAACCCACAACACGAGTCAAGTAACCAATCAAATTATAACATCGAATTGACACTGGACCATTTTTCCATACAAAAGTCAGTACAAACAATCGATCGATAGATTTGGCAAAGAATTAGCACCAAAGTCCAACTTGGACAATAATATATATATCTCGGTTGTGTTGTACTAGCTGTTATTAATAATATGGTATTAATATCTACGTATCGACCAAAACCGGTGCACCACCAATAAATATTACTTCGAAGTATACTACTAAACCGTAATCTTACACGTGCTTGTCAACTCCTCCTTGCTTGACATGATGATGCAAAGTCGTTACAGAGTGCTTGTCATTGGACATGATCAGGTGGGGCACAGGGGGGGAGGTCGGGCTCGTGGGCACCGAAGCCGACAGCGCCAGCAGCGACTCGTCACCATCTTCGTCTCCCTTCAGCACGTAATATGTTGACCGAGTGACCGGGGGCGGAAGCCACCCCAGCTTCACGCACTGCCACTCGACGCGGAAGAAATTCCACATGCATCGGCGGCACACTTCGGCTACCTGCGCCACCATCTTGAAGTCGGCGCCGACCACGTCTACCCAGTGCCAGTTGGACGTGACCCAGAGGACCCGCAGAAGGGCATCGATGGCGAGCGCCGCAAAGTACACGGCCTTGGGCTGGTACAGAAGCGTATGGCGGAGGTAGGCGTGGAGGTTGGGTTGTGTGGCATTCCAAAGCGGTGGCGACGATGATGTAGCTGCCTTGGACGACTGCTTGAGATCGTGGTCCGTGTCACAGTTGTGGGCGCTGGGTTTGTCAGTAGTACCCCCTGTCGCAGGAATTGGCGGCTGGCCCAGCCCCCAGTCCATCACGACGTCCCAGAATAACGAGTAGAGCGAATTACAGCACGCACACAAGAGGAACAGTGTTTCTGTATCGAGAAGGCGCTGGTCCGACATGGAAGAAGGAGATAACAACACCGGCAACGCCCCCACCAAGATCACACACAGCCCCGTGCCGTACTTGAACGTGTTGAGCACATGCAGAAACTTGTCGTTCACGAGCGCCGCGCGGTGGTACGAAATCAGGCACTGCACCCCGCGGATCCTACCAAACAACAGAAGTTTTGTATGTCAGGGACAACATGTCAACTACGGGAGATACTGTCATATCGGGTTTGGCATGCTGACTATGGCGTTTTCATGTCGGATACGACATGTGAAGCACGGAATATATGGCAATGCTGTCATATCTGGTACGTTATGTCGACAACGGGATGCCGTATCTGGTATATAAAACCAGGTATGAACGTACATGTACGGACTGGCTGTGGCCAGATATGGGAGCAAATGGTGCTTCATCTTGCTCGTGTACATGTCGTCTCGAACGCCGACGACGGATTGTCGCATCATGAGGATGGCCACGGCGACGTCGCCAAAGATCTTGGACATGGAGGTCAAGCCATCGGCAATGTAAACTTCGACGAAGGGGGTTTCGGTCTGGGCAAACACAATGCCGCCACTGCTCACCCACGTGAAGGGAAAGAGGCAGCGGCGAAGCGTGCGGCCGAGAAAGCGGCGAAATTTGACATGCAGGACGTTGCAGGGCAGCGTCAACAGCGCCAGCACGACAACGCAGTACACGACGAGCACGAGCTCATGGCACCGTCCGATCAATGCGATCGAGTGCAGCTTGAAGACGTAGTACAAAGCTCCAAGTAACGTCGTGAGAAACGCGGAGAACGTGATCAACCCGCGCGGGGATGGAACTTCGTCCGCGTGGATGCCAAATACCTTTTCGAGTGGGAAACCCATGGAGCGGAAGATCATGAGGTTCAGCGCCCCTCCCGCGATGAACATGTTGATGGCCAGTGGACCCCCGAAGAAGTACGAGACATCGCTTGGCATAGTGGTGCGTGTTGCCAGCCGGGTTGGAAATCAGGGCCAAAATGCCTTGGCACAATGTGATTGGCCAATTTGAAACCTGTGAAAACCAATATTTATGCAGGTTTTTGGTGAGCGTTTGCGGATCTGCACTCGGAGCGTGCCACGTCATGTGCAGCACAACGAGATGGAAAAGCAGAGGGGATCCTTGGAGCAACTTCCAGTGTTTGTCGTTCGGCAGACTTTGTAAAGATCGGTGGATTCACGGCCGTTGTAGGATACATACCAATGCTGATAGAACACGTTATCTCACATTCAGGGTCAGTAGTTCGCCTCGTGAGGGGGGGTGTAGGAACTCACTTACATGTATAGCACACACCGCAAGGGAAACGAAGATAAACCGACAAGGGAAGTACCGGGGTATTGGTCACATGCGAGCCAAACCCCTATATTGTGAAGTCGTGTGATAATTATCGGTATGCTTTAGGCGCAGTATCAGGAGGCTGCCCCAGCGATAGATGCCACTGCAATCGCACCTCTTTCTGGACACTGTTCAAGCAGCCAAAGTTGCGCACTCGATGATTCTCGTCGTTGGCGGGGATTCCTGTGTAGTACCACAAGGGTACACACAATTGGTCAGGCGCAATCCCCTGGAGTACTGTACCGTAATAATAATAAACGGGTGGTCGGAATTTTGAGGGGGGGCTATTCCCGTGTGTTCACTCCTTGAGCTCTTTATTGATCATAAATGACGTACTAATACTAGTAAATCAAACTATTGTTCTCTTCATGTAATTTGCCCGTTAAAGAACCAGATATTCAAAATAATATAAGCCCGATTGAAGGTAAATAAAACAACGCTAAATTCAAGTTCTGCATTTCAGCAGAATACCCAAACCCTTACACACTGTACTTTACTTCAGCCGCTAAATAATTGAGTTGCAGCACCAGGCCAACTTACGCAGTGCAACCACCAGTTCATCGCGTTGCATACCGTATTACGACGACTAGCCTAACTACGTATATCCCTAACGTTGTAAATTACTCGGAGTAGTTAATGTTTGTAGTGATCACTGATGGGAGTTTTTCAATTTCATTTCGACTAGCAGCTTGACGTGTTGACGTAAAACAAGTTGTTTGCGTTTCATTCTGGCGAACAACTTGTTGTATTATTACGAAAGTGTCTTCAACCAACCAATCATCGCATTCGATGAGGTAACTTTAAACAACGCACACCCAACCGTTATTCAGGTTACTTTACTGTTAGACGATATTAAAAAATTTAAACAATGAATGTAACCCTGGAATTGACAACAAAGGTTCAAAGCACAATAATACCTATATATTGATAAGGTTTCATTTTGTCGAGCTTTGAATAATTGTATCTCAGTCCAAATAGGTTATTGCCTTGACAATAGGTATACTTCCATGTGATTCTCTAAGCATTAACTGTAAAATCGGATTTCTAGTGAAACTTTCTACTATACATTACTATAGATTGTATTTGTAACGTAGGCACCAGTATAATTAAATTAAAAAGATCAATTTTTATTTATTTATTATTCCAATTTAAAAAATAATATAATCAATTTTTTTGTTTAATTTGTTAAGAGATTTAAATAAAAAAATTTTAAAAGAAAGAAATTTCTACAAAAAACAATCCTTTTTTTAATATACAAAAAAATATTCAAAAAATATTCAAAAAATAAAAGACCACCAATATGTTTTATTGCTAGTTAATTGTTTAGATTTCTTTGAAAAGAATATATATAAAAAATAAAGATTTATTCAAAATAAAATAAAGGGTTTACACAAAAACCATTTTTTGGACATTTTTGAAGTGCTGGACTTTTATTGTTTTTAAACGTTTTTTTTTGTATAGTTGTTTTACCTTTTTTTTTAATAATATAAAATCTGTATTTATAATTTATTCTAAAACCTAAAAATATATAAATTTAAGTAATAATGTTTTAAAAAGTCTTTTTCTCAAAAAGAATGGATTGGATTTTTTTAATAAAAGTTTAGTTCATCGGCTAAGACACCAGTCATCGGCACTGTTGTAAGCCAATAGAAATGCCCGAATGCCTCTTATTGGTCAAAATGTAGTCCTTCAAGAATTAGTGCACCTGATAAATTATTGGTTGGACCAGTCAATTTTGTGTTGATCATACAGAAATTGTTACTGTAGCAGTTAATACCCATTCGAAACACATATTCCTTTGATACCTAATATGATGACAGCATCCCGCGAACTAGAGCGTGGAGGATTCAATACATTACACAAGTCTAAAACGTGCGTCGATGACTGGTGCCCTACGAAAATCGCTACTTTTGTAAATCCGTACTGCAGGTGTTTACTATTTAAATTGATATCCTTTGAACCTCAATTGATGGGCTGAATCTTGCGATTATTTTGATATATGTATCACCCCAATATGTGTTGTAGTCAACGAGAAATCGACGAACAAAATAAGCAAAGAGCGATGCTGATGACTGGTGCCCCACGTTAGTAGAAAATTTCACTACAGTAGAAATCCGATTTTACATGCTGGTTTACAGTTAGGTGGAAATTTGTGGTACAGTGCTGTACAGCGAATATGATAACACCTGTATAATATAATAATAATTGTGCGTAACTGGTATCAATCATTTCCAATCGGAGGTACCATTGATGTGCCGACTTATTCATCCAATCAAACCCTAAATCGATTTTCATTAGACAAAATGCAACCTCAAGGTATAAATACATCCTATGAACTCTAACATTCGTGTTCAAAAGTACTTCTATACATTATACCTGTTCGATATGTATAAACCTTCATAAAATGGTAATCGTAATATGATGCACGTTCATCTAAAAATGAATGGAGGTATTATTATTTAACGTACAATTAATGCAGTTAAACCCAAAAAACAAATACGTTAAATACTGATTTCATGCGTTTTATCACTGCAGTGGGAGGTTAAAGGTCCCAACTCCTCCGGATATTATATACGGATAGGAGCCACATACAAAAATCAAGATACATCTCAGTGGCCACCCCAATGGCCAAATATCCATGCGCCCATGTAAAATACCGCTAGGTTAAATATCTATTTCTGAACAATTAATCACCAAATTTGAATCTGAGACGTAGAATTTCTTCAACACATTGAGATCTGTCGATTCTACGTCTCAATTTGCTGAAATTTTGAGTAATGAATACGAAATAGAAGTCAGAAAATTTTATAAAAAGTTGTTAACTGTAAGCTTAGTTTATAGATGACGTGCACCATATGTTACTCAAGTATAGAAGTCGGCACATCAATGGTCGCCCTCAACTTCAAAAATTAATTTGTGTAATCCTAAACTGTTTAAATCGATATACTTTAAGCTCATTCGAAAGAGCTCAACGTTATCCATCCAAAAATGTACTCCAAGGGAGGATTCGAAAAAACAACTGAAATATATGAAGAAAAACCGGCACATCAATGGTCGGTCACGTGTAGTATTCTTTGTATTACACGTGAGCTACAATCGCCCAACATGTAGCTAACTCAACATCTGTACACATGGAAATCCTGAATAACGTATTAAATCTTCTTTGGTGATCTCAACTGCGTTCAAGTAAAACACGCACGAACAGCTACAGGAAGTACTACGTAGTACTACTACTTACAGTGGTTGAGAGCATCCACGACCCTTTTTGTGCTTGTATTTGAGATTCTTAGAAAAAATATACTTCGAAGTATCAAATTCAGTAGTCGTAGTTTTCCTCAGTGAATTCGATTCTGCCATTAAAATACCGTGATTCACATTACTTTTCGAGTAATGGTCGAAATACCTTGCAAATGTCGCATGAAAAACTTGCATAACATTATACTAGTATATTGTAACCTTGAGTTGCAAGGTTACACAATTATTTAAAATGGTCAAATCAAGATACAGAAGTTAAGTGTAAAAGAATGCTTTATTAAAAATAAAACTGTAAGAACATATTAATATTTTTTAATAAAATAGAAAAGTAGTAAAAGCTGCATTAGTTGGTCTTGTCTTTGGCTTCCTATTAATAGCATGGGTTTGTAACGTTTCTAACGTTATCCATGATACCCCAAGTAAGAACCGGGTTCAAATTAACTGTGAACTCATCATGGCGTTGTCAGCACGTTGATCCCGACTAGCGTACAGTACATACTGTAAGTTACATCAGAAATTTCAGTTAGCGCCAGAGTATTTACTACTTCGAAGTACCCTGACGTTAACTGAAATTGAGTACTACTCGTAGTTACTTCGAAGTACTCGAAGTAATAGTTACTCCGGAGTACTACGTGTAGTTAAGAGATGCTCTAATTTTCCCAGTCGATGACACGTAATAACGATGAAATAAATCTACGCTTGACCTCATATGCTGCAACCATACGCCTTAGCCGACTGACGACAGCACGACATATCTTGACAAATGAATTGCCGAAGCGACACTTCTTGCCTGCAACCCGCTGTGTTCGCTCGAGATTTGCGGCCAGCGCAGCACCCACGTACCCACTCTTCACAAACGACGCCCAGTTGGTTGCCATTATAGTGACAGCTCACAGGGAGACCCGGACACTGCTCAACCACCAGCGTAATACAGTAACTATGGACGCAGTTAGCCTACCGTACCCAAACCTCGACTCAGCCCCTTCCTCACGTTCTCCTCTGTCTGGACACCTCTTGCCCTATTGTCCAACACAATTACACATCAAACTTTGCAGGCTAAAAAAAATAAAACTACCTTGAAGTTCCCGCTCTCAACCGCTTCATTTCGCTTCAAGTCCATACATACGTAGTAAGCTTTGTAGTACATACTAATAATACCGACCTCAAGGGCCTTTTTATACTCGAAAAATGTATACTGGCTTGTCCCAACCAAGGCCACCATACAAACTTCAACACGAGATTCGTGGCAATAATAATAAATATGGTCGTACAATATTAAAAACAACGAGCCGTTTTCCTACTCGGCGGCGGCGACCTTGTGCAGTTTAGGCATCATCCCCCCACACACCGCTGCGTCAATGATGCTCTGTACCCCCGAGGGGCTGATAAAGTTATCTTCAAGCCCCAGGAACCGCAACTGGGGGCACAACGTGCTGGACAGCAGCGCCACCACGGGCGACACGCTGTTGTCTGTGATGATGTTCCCGCCCATGCATAAATACTTGAGTTTCGCCACGGCGCCGACGCCCAACGCCTGCATGATGCGCTTGAGACCCGACTCGCCGATAAAGTTGCGGCGCAGGTCCAGCCGCACCAGGTTGGGCACTGCCCCGAACTCGCTTAGCAACGCAGCAACGTCCACGGTCCCGCAGTCGGAAAAGCTGTTGCCGCCCAGGAGCAGGTCTTCGAGGCGGGGACATCCGCCGCGCTGGAGGGCCGCGCACAACGCATGGATTGCATTGCGATGACACGTGTTGGTGAACGCAGACACGAGGCGGAGGCGCCGCAGCTTCGAACCAGCGCCGCGGGAGATGGCGGTGGCGAGCTCCAGCACCGCGCTTTCGCCGACGTTCGTCTGGGAGATGTCGAGTTCGCTACACCCCCAAGCATGCAATGCAACGTTGCTGCTCTCGGCGTCGTGTGATTTGTCGGTTGTACAAGGTTTCTTACGGTGGCTGTACACGTCAAGCGCTTCCAAGTTGACCAGTTGAATGAGGAATCGAGTCGACTGAAGCTCAAATGCTCGGGCCAGTGTGTCCACGCTCAAGCTAAGGGTGTGGACGCATGAGGGCAGCAACGAGTACGCTTTCTTAGACACGGCCGTGTGTCGCAATACGTCTTTCCCATCGAGGAACCCGTAAATGTGTCGCACGAGGTCTTCGTTGTGCAGAAGGAACACTGACGAAGAAGTCGGCTGGGCAGGGGGACCAATTTTTTGCTTGACGCTTCGTGGGGCCACGTCATCGGTTTGTGACCGCTTACACGCCTTCATGCTTGCCGCTTCGTGGTAGCTTAACGACACCAAACTCTGCAACCGCCGGCGCAACGTGTTCAGGTCTTTGTACTCTTCGAAGCTCGCGGCTCGACTGTACAGGCTCAGCTCGATGCGTTTGGCGAGTGACGGGGTTTTCTCGTCCCAAGTGTCGTCGATACCGAGCAAGACACGTCGTTTGTGGCGCCTCGTCATGGCAATGATGCGCTGGACCATTAGGCGTCGTTCAGGGAGGTCATTTGGTGACTGCCACTGCACCAAGTCGACTGTGTACCGATCGGTTGAAGTGGTCAAGCCGCCCCATAGGGTTGAAGCTGCTGCAGCGACATGCATGCCGCCACGGTCTTTGGCCAACGCCGTGGTTCTTGTAGCTGAAGTCGGCAATGTCATTGCAGCGTCCGTCGCGGTCGTTGTTGTGAACTGGGCATGATCCATGTGGCACGGTGGGGGCGAGTTTCGAAATGCGGAAACCTCAACCCAATAAGTAAACCCGGACAACTGATTCGCCTTTTTGATCATTTTCTCCTCTGGCGACCCACGTGTTTTATTCTCGTGACTTGATGTTTGTATTTGACCCGTTTTGTTTCGGATAAAAATCGACCATATCCGGAAAAAACCGTCTGGCACTCCACGGAACCTTCTGTCTTTCAGCGACGCCATGGTTCAACGTTCGATAAAAACGCGTTTTATGTTGAATTTTCGATTGTTTTTCAATATTCCACGAATTAATAATCGTTCAAAACGGTTTCGACGTTCTTTGGTTTTGATTCTGCGATATCTTTGGAAAGATCGATGGAACGACGACTGTGACACCGCCCACGCATTATCGACCTACCACCACCAGCTTTGACGTACCGCTTCTAGCAGATGGACCCATGCCTGAGCATCACAGCATCCATGACTCCTTCGACACAATCGAGATGGTACTGTCGGCCACGGAGTGGTGCTTGAGCCATGCAGATAGCTCGGCGATGGCTTCCTTGTCGTTGTTAGGCCCCACTGAGTCGATGTCGGGGGCTCCTAGATCTCGCCATTGTATCGAGACGTCATGTTCAGCGATGCAATGCTGGCACGATTCCACCGTCGACGCGTAAATGTGCGACGCGGCTGCTTGCATACACGTGAGGTAGTACACTACAACCAACATACATGGCAGCACACATTGGTATTCGCAGCGACAACTTGTCATCAACATACCGACTTCGGCGCCGTCATGGACGTAGGCTTGGGAAAACGTGGCGGCGGCATGGAGTCGGCGGTAGATCGACGGCAGCACGTCTAGTTGCATCCAAAACACTTGGAGCAGGAGTGGAATGAGCACGTCTGCGTTCATGGATGGAATGTACGGCGCCACTTCTTCATGGAGACATCGAATGGCTATCATCAGGATGGAAAGGATGCCCAGTGGGGTCGTTTCGGCGCACAGACACATGAGCGCATGCATCGTTTGCGGCAGCAGCGCCGGTGTCCACTCCATGTCGTCGTTGCCGGACAACGACGCCAATGGCCGCAGCAGAAGTGGCATTGCACTCGCCTTGGGTCGCCCCTTTAGGTGGCCCAAGTGCTTGAACACGGCGTTGTCTTCATAGGCACTTGTCAATGGCGCCAAATTCGCAAACACGACATGATGGACACCGACATGGAGCATGGCGGCGAGGGTACTACTACTACTCGTCATAACTTCGTGATCAATCTTCATGTGTTGTTGGTGCTGATGGAGCATCAGGTCGTGGTAGATGCGGCGAGCAAGGAACGATTCAAATGCGGCAAGGACATGGGGAGATGGGAGGCGGGCCGTGTCGATGGCCACGGCGGCGAAAGGGTTGGCGCGGGTGGTGGGGCAGTGAACGATGATCCGGGCGGGGGAAATGAGTGGACAGGATGCGTCCAAGAAGGCGGCATCGCGTGCGGTCGAGTGATTGGACGACACTTCCTCCTCTTCTTCTTGGACGACAATGCGCTCAATGTCTTGGCGAAGTTTCACATGCCAGCGACGCACCAATCGCCCTGTGGTCGAATGGGTGGTTGACACAGCCCGGCGAAACGATTCAAGGTGGACGGAGAACGACGCGTGTGCTGCTGGAGTCGGGAATGAGAGCAGCGGAAAGTCGTCGTGGGGATGCAAATCATCGCGAGGGTATGCGAGCACCATGGCTCGTAGAATGCACAACAAGTCAGCTGCTGTGGACGATGTCATAGCCAATGGTTCTGGGGACGACGATAAAATGGGTGGTGGGGATGGGGCAGCTCGCTGAAGGGCGTCTCTGGCTTGCGCTATGACGGAGACTAGGCATTGCTGACGCGAGTGTAGCCTGATGTACTCGGGATGGGTCGTAATGAGCTGGCTCGGTGGAGCAAAGAACGACAAGTCCACTATTCCTTCGACGTCGGAGGGTGGACACGATGTAGCAAGCTCCATGAAGGCATCGCATTCGCAGCATCGGGTGTCGAGGATTTGACTCACACACGCTTCGACTTCGATGGCGAGGCGCAATTCCTGGACCAAGAGATGGTGGAGGAACCGATGGCGCTCTACAAGTTGTCGAGAGGTGCCATGGCACGCCAGCTTGCGGACGCGCACGGACCACTCCTTGTCCATTCGCATGAGATCCATAGAAAACTGGTGGCTTTGCACGTTGCGGTCCACGAGGCACGCGGCAAGGACGGACTTGTACTGCGCTAGCCGAGTCGACATGTCGAGCTCAACTTCAAGAAACGGCGACAGGACGACGCTCTTCATACGCGTGAGCAACCGGCTGCTCCAGTTCTTGGTATATTGCTTCGTTCGTACTTCGTTGTTGAACGGATGCCCATCGTTGCCGTCGTCGTCTTCTTGGCACCTGCTGTCGTCGGTACTGGATGGGCTTGCCAGCATTTTCTTTCAAATCTGCGCGATCTTCATTATCCGGAGACCCGTACCATCACATGGGACTTGTATGATCAACTTCAAGGACATCCGGATAATCATTAAACGGTGGCTACAAAATCGTAGTATTGGCTACGGCTACGCAAGAAATTACTCTCTTAGCTTTACAGTGAGCAATCTCATTCATTGTCAATACTACCGGTAACCAAATTGTTGCAATACAACTTTTTTTGTTTTTCGGAGAATGGCCATAATTCCTGATTGAGACATAATCCTTTTTGAATCCTGAAGTGCCCTAAATTATAGACAATTTTCAGGGCAATCCACCAATTATCAACGTGCAATGTATTTCGTTCAATTGAGCTGTATATGCTATACCTCTATAAAGTGGTGTGCCAATTGTTGACGTATTATTTTAACCGTCGGTGTTGTATGGCTACGTGTATGCATATTCAGAGGTTTGTTCTGTGATTGGTGCTTTTCCAATTTAGGGATCAGTGATTGGCTTAGTTTTATACGTAATTAATTGGCACATATGCCATTAATTGACACTTTACGCTAGTATGGTTAGCAATATTGCAAAAGCTACAGATCGAGTGTACTGTCTCCTAACTGTAAGTGCGTGCACTGGTTCCGTTCAGTTTGGACAGTCTAGCACGTAGCAAGTAGTGTAACGTAACTACAGTAGCGTTACATTTCCTTTTGATAAACGCGCTCACCATTGTACAGTAGTCTGCGATTCGCTGAACTTGTACAAAAACCATGGGGGCCCTCTCACAAGTAGAAGGCGAGTCGTCATTCATCACATGTCAATGATACGCTTATATAACCTTATATTGATATCAACCATGCATGCAGAACTGGTCATGCTCGTCCACTGTGTGTATTTCCTCGGCCGGTATTCGTTGTAGCATCGCAAGAGTCGGTGTAAATTTATCGCTATATCACCACGTTGATAGAATTCTAGATTTCCGATGTAAAATGCATCGATATAGGAGTCAAACTTGTCGGAGCGCTCACTCGTGGAGCTGAAAATACTCCATCATGGATTTGAACGATGTCAGTTCCAGGTCGTTCAGTCCGTCCGTCGATACCTTCCCCGTGCGCAGGACGCGACGAAACACAACCGGGTCCAAGTCCAAGAAGTATGCACCCCCCATGCCCGGTGTGGGGTTCCACATGCCAGACCCGAGCAACGCATGAAAGTAGCTACCTTCCACACGCAGCAACGTGTCTTTGGCCGTTTGGAAGATGGTGCCGCCCACGTTCAGCGTGATAACACTTGAAACGTTCGCTACGTCTTCTTGTACGCGGCGCTCCATCTCGTTCCACTTGGCCAACTTCACGTCCAACTGCTCGATTTGTTCCGTCATGATGCAAAATATGATTGTCCCAAGTGTTTTTGACAAAACTGCTGTGAAAATGCTCTACAAGAATGCTATACACTGATTGGTCAGTCGTAATTGCTTAACTGTCGCTGATTAGCCAATACTAAACTACCAACTGAACTGTCGTGGTTATCTACCAATCATGTGCATCTATCATATCCTACCCAAACTGTCCAAGGGACATATCCGAATATATCCGGCAATATCACTTATCCGACAGTTCCATTACTGAGACCTCCACAGCCAAATAAATACAGAAGTGACGAGCGGCTGCCCTTCTACTTTCGCGGCTTTGTGATGATAGGTTGATCTACATACAGTACCACTTGGGGGTTCGAGGAGAGTCCAAGCCAAGAAGCATGAGCCGATTCTTGTTGTCCATTTGACTGAATTTCCGGTTAAAACTAGTCGACACTCGTGAGCTTGGTACCAATTCGATACATGCCAACCACAAGGACCAGTTCCTCGGACGGGTCCACGAGCTCAACGTAAAATGGAAGGTCGTCGTTCACTGCAAACCCAATTCGCAAAGGAGCGCGACGTACGGTCACCACGTCGCCCGTTTTCAGGTTTGGTAGTGCAGACGATTGAACGTGGTGATTCTTGTTGAAAAATCGACCGTCGGATTCGTAGAGATAGCATTGGTTTCTCCGAGGTCGGCTACGGTCGTCCTGGTCCGTGATGGTACCGAGGCCAATTCGAAACGGCCCATCGACGTTGTCCACTCGAATGCGACAACTCCCAGACGGCGGCAGCTCGGCCACGGCGCCCACGTCAAACACATTGCGCGTACTAGTCACCGATCGCGCAATCGTCCGCGAGTCTGTGGACAAGGTGAAATCATCAGTCGGATGCCATTGCCATCCTTGCAAACCGTCCAAGTTTAACGACTTCATCATGGATTTGAACACTGTACGCTCGACAAACGTCAAGCCGACCATCGACACGTCCCCTGTGTGCAAAAAGAGCAGGACATGACGAAACACAACGGGGTCCAAGTCCAAAAAGTACGCCCCCTCCTGTGTGGGGGCCCACAGACCAGACCCGAGCAACGCATGAAAGTAACTGCCGTCCACGCGCAGCAACGTGCCTTTGGCCGTTTGGAAGGTGGTGCCGCCCACGTTCAGCGTCACAATGTCGGGCACCAGTGCCAGGTTTTCCTTCACGCGGCGTTCCAGTTTGTTCCATGCAACGAGCTTCGTTTCCAATTCGCTGGCTTCGACTTGGTCTAGTGTCGTGCCAACGTTAGTGGCTGTGCCTTGCATTGGATGGTTTTTCGTGGCGAGAACTCAGCACAAGAAAGAATGATGATTTTTTGCCCAGTTTTACGCTGTTAACGTTAGTCAGAACTGTCAAAGTGTACATTTTTATACATCGTGGACGTTAAACGTCTTTATCGTTGATTGCCTAACGTTACAATAATCTACCGGTAGTTTTATTATGAATGTAGTTCGAAGTAAGGTAATGCATCAATTATTGCACTGTTTTTGGTCGAGTTTTGGAGAATCAAATAGTGTTCAGCCTGAGGAAGAAAGCAACGTGCACTGCTTTTAATTGCCATTTTGAAGGATTGACATCGTCCTCAATCGATTGTGCCGAGTTGCTTGGCTCCCCAGCAAATCTAGTACAAAGTACTGAACCAGATAATGGTGCTTATATTTCAGTAAATTTTCAGTACATCAGCACTCGGATTTACTGATTGGCCAATTTACTGGGTGCATGGACTTATTATACCTTATATTAAGGGCCCCGTCTGGAAGCCACCCTAAAAAATATCATGATATTGCAATATTGTGTATTCTGCATTTTTTGAAATACAGAAAACCACATAACTTCATTATGCAATATTTTTGTTTGGTGGACTGTCTGGATGCCATGTGATTGGACAATAATAGAGGATAATTGGAAAGAGCGGGCAATATTTCAAAAAGCATGATCGACGAGCGCGCAACCTGGACCGACGAGAAGGATGCTATCTGGATGACCGAGATGATCTACCAAGTGGTAGTCCTTGGCAAATGTGCAAACAGTGGGTTCAAGAAGGAGGCGTGGCAGGCAGCATTGAGTAATCTCAACATCGAACACCGCGTTAACTACACCAAAGTCCAGCTCAAGGCCAGGAATGCAGAAATTAAGGAGCAGTATGCTCAAGTGTCGCAAATGGTACGCACATCAGGGATCGGCATCGAAGCAGCCACATGTCGGTTCGTGTGCACGGAGGGATCGTAGCAACACTTCCTGGAAGGGAAACCAAGACGGTGGGCGTTGGGGGAGACAAAACGCTTTCCACAGAATCTGCGCTGCCAGCAGCTCTATGACGGATGCCACGGGAAAGTACGCATCATCAACAACACAACAGGAAAGTATGGCCAGCTCAACCGACAATGGTGACGATCAATACAGTGATGCTAATATCGACAACGACGTCGCGGATATGGATTTAATGGACAGCATTTCCGACAACTCTGAGGCAAGTCAATTAGTACTCAGTTCTTGAAAGCCAGCAAAGTGACGTGTGTGGGCAAGTGGCGCTGGGTTGTCAAAACGTGTCAGACCGTCGTTGGCGTGCACCATGACTGCTCAACTTAAACAGCTTCAGGATTATGGGCATCAATAAATGTCAGTATTTGTGAACGCACTCAAAGACAACGTGCTATTAACGACATCACATGGCATGCACGATGCGTCTCCATATGTGGCATCCAAGATGGCTTTACATCGACAGCAAAGCGCGCCATTCTATCACTTGACGACATGGCAATTGCATTTGAAGTCATGGAAGACTTGAAAAAGGCAACCCTACTTGTGCCATGAGCGGTGAAGTTCGAGAAGTGTGGTTGAAGCGCCAAATATTGTCCCTTAAAACCCAGGGATAAACTAATTTCACATCAAACCATCACTGTGAGTTTCATGTTTGAAGTAAGAGTCCATGGTGTGCGAGGACAACAGCGGGGACAACAGCGGGGACAAGTGTGAGAACGTTATAAATGAAACTCAAATATAATTTCGGCTATATCTACGATGTCTCGCTCGAAGAGTTGTTCGATATTGATCCCACATATCCTGGCAATTTCGTCACGCCATGTCTTTGCTTCCGAGCTTTCGAGCGCTTCATTGAATAGTGGCATGTCGCTTGAGTCCATTGGCTGCTCATTTTGCCGTCAGATTTCGTCAACGACCTCTTCCTCAAAACTGTCGTTGCCGTGTTGTCGAATAAAATTGTGAAGCAGGCAAAGCGCAAGGACCAAGTCGACTTGGAATTTGTAGTTGTATTCCACAGGGCATACAAGGACCAGAAATCGCTTCTTCAAGATGCCGAAGATCCTCTCCACGACGTTCCTCAACTGAGCGTGCCGCAAGTTGAAGAACTCTTCCTTGGATTGAGGACGCTGGCGACCACGAGCAAACTCCTTCAAATGATAGCGCTTTCCACGATACGATGTACGAGCCTTCGTTGTGAGAGCAAATCCAGCATCCAATATGTCGAACTTTGCATCGTCGATGTGCAGCCCCATACGCAAAGCCGCATCATACAACTTTCCGTCACCGGCTGTTCCTTCCCATCCAGCCATGACGAACGTGAAATCAAAATCGCATGCCGTAAGGACGTTCATTATCACGCCTTTTCGACTTTGGAACCGGGAGACATCGCACGCCGACACGCGGACTGGAATATGGGTCCCATCAATAGCCATACGGCAGATCAGAAAACACGGGAAGCAATACTGGGATGAACAGCTCCGCCAGGATGTGGGATGCGGATGTTTGTTGGACACAGATTGACCAAGGACGCCATCACAGCATGAAGGTGCCGAGTGACGGTCTCACCAGATCGTTGAAAGCGGCATTTTATCGCGCGGCTCGATGCGCGGTGTCCAATAAAGTAGAGGAACATGGCAACTTGCTCTTCTATGCAGACTTCTCTTCCGCCAACGAGTGTCCCAGTTTTGACAACGGCATCCACTAGCGAGTGGAACGTTCGGCTGGACATGCGAAAGTTGTCGATCACAACTGCTTCGCTTCCGCGAAGAACTTCGTTGACCCACCCGATCCCACTCAAGATGGACTCACGCTTGGAGGACTTCAGCACGTATGCCCAATAATGATACTGTACCATGCGTATCGGAAGTAGATTTGCCGTGCTTGGCGGCGCCGCTGCGACCAACGCAGAAGGAAGAGCAGTGCGATCTTCTTGTTCATGGTGTGCAGATAGATAGGGGGTTCTGAATACCACGTTATCCGTCATAATGTACAAGTCGAAGTGGTATGTTCTATATTATTTTGTGAGTGAAGTGGTTTCCAGACACATCATTTCGATGTAATTCAAGATAACGTTATCTCAATATTTCGAAAAATATCGAGAAATATCGTGACTTGCAGACAGGCCCTAAGGGCGTGTTCGGAGCGACTTTTGTGTCAGCGGTTTTTGGCTTTTTCCATAAGCCGCTGAAATATCAGCGACTTTTTGCCTTCACTGACATTGGTTAATAACAGAGAAAAATCAACCAATGATGCGTCCTAAAATTCATTGTCCATTTTCAGCTCTATGACAGCGGAGCGCAGAAAATTGTTGTCGCGTAGTGGCTGTGGTGGC